GTGCCGACCGTTTCACGAGCCCTTTTGATAAAGAATTTCACAATACAGATGGTGTTGTTGATATGAGACTGGAAAGAAAGAGTGCTGTCGAGGATGACACCTAGACTCTTTACCTGAGGGGAGGGAGAAATGGAACGGTTATCAATGTCAATACTGAAATTTTTGGTTTTAGCCAGGGTGGATTTTGTACCAATGAGAAGAACCTCTGTTTTGTCACTGTTAAGTTTAAGAAAATTTGAGGTGAACCAGGATTTTATTTCAGTCAAGCAGTCGGTAAGCGAGGATGGCGGGAGGTTGGAGGCGGGCTTACTGGAAACATAGAGCTGGGTGTCATCCGCATAACAGTGGAAATCGATATTGTGCTTGTGGAAAATAGTGCCGAGGGGAAGAAGATAAATAATGAAGAGGAGGGGTCCCAGGACAGAGCCCTGGGGAACTCCTGATGTGACAGATGAAGGCTCGGAAGTGAAGGTTTTGATCCGGATGAACTGAGTGCGGCCGGAGAGATATGATTTAAACCAGTTTAGAGGAGTCTGAGTGATACCGATAGAGGAAAGTCTATTGAGTAGGGTGGCATGGCAAATGGTGTCAAACGCTGCACTCAGGTCAAGGAGGATGAGGATGGACAGCAAGCCGGAGTCAGCTGCCAAGAGGAGGTCATTGGTGATTTTTATAAGAGCTGTTTCTGTACTATGGAGGGGACGAAAACCAGACTGAAACAGTTCATACAGGTTATTGTTGGATAAGTAAGTATGGAGTTGAGATGCAACTGTCTTTTCAAGAATCTTGGAGATGAAAGGCAAGTTGGAGATAGGACGGAAATTATTGTGATTACGGTAATCAGCGCCAGGTTTTTTCAGGATAGGGGTTATGGCAGCAATTTTAAAAGATGCAGGAACTGTTCCGGTGGAGAGAGAGGAGTGAATAATGGCAGAAATGAGAGGGAGTATAGATGGGGCACAGGCTTTAACCAGAACTGTTGGAAGAGGGTCAAGCAAACAGGTGGACAACTTGGACTTGTTGATGAGGCTTATGATTTCTGAAGTTGTCGGGAGTTCAAAGGAAGAGAAGGAGTGGGCTGGAGGAGAAAGTTCACGAGTAGGACAAGGGGTCGGTTGTGAGCTGAGATACTGATGGATCTTAACAATTTTACTGTCAAAAAATGACATGAAGGAGTTACAAAATTCAGTTGAACACAGATGTGAAGGTAGGGATTCCGGGGTTTGGGTGATGTTCTTGTAGAGGGAGAATATTGACTTGGTGGAGCCTTCATTTGAACCAATTAAACAAGTGTAGTAGGAGGATTTGGCTTGATTGATACAGTCCTTGTAATGCAATATGTGAGTTTTGTAAATGTCTTTATGTACAACCAGTCCAGTTTTCCGGTGGAGCCTTTCAAGTTGCCGCCCTTTAGCCTTCATGAGCCGAAGTTCTATAGTAAACCAGGGCGCAGAGCGAACAAAAGAAACAGATCTGGTTTTTAGCGGAGCAAGAGAGTTGAGTATTGAGTGAAGACCAGTATTGTAGTATGAGACCAAGTCATCAAGGATGGTTGAGTCTAGAGTTGAGTATAGATTGTCCATGAGAGAATTGACGGCGGAGGAGAGAGAATTTAAATCAATATCCTTAATGTTACGGAAAGAGATGAGACGAGGAAGCTTGGTGATAGAGAGAGGGAGACAGATATTGAATGAGAGGAGAAAATGGTCAGTTATGGCGAGTTCATCTGCTGTATAATCCGAGGGAGATACACCAGAACAGCAGACTAGATCCAGGACATGACCCTTAGAATGAGTGGGAACATTGATAAACTGCTGAAGACCAAAACTCTGGAGGCAGGATGAAAAGTCTTTAGTCAGTGGGTTATTTCTATCGTCCATGTGAATATTAAAATCACCCAATACTATAATGTTTGGTGAGAGAATTGACAGGTGAGTGAGAAGAGCAGCGAAGTTATCCAGAAAGTCACTGTTAGTTTTCGGCGGGCGGTAGATGGTTGCAATGATGGTGGGGGTAGGTCCATAGAGCTGACACACAGCTGATTCAAAAGAGGAGAAGGTGGGAGCAGACAACGGCGAGACTTTCCATTTCTCGCGGTGAATTATCGCGAGACCTCCTCCCCGGCCGGTGCCACGGGGTTGACAGATGTAAACAAACCCCGGTGGAGTAGAATCATTGAGCTGAGAGAAATCATTCGGTTGTTGCCAAGTCTCAGTCAGGCATAAAAAATCAAACTTACGGTCAGTGAGGAGATCCTGAATGAGATGTCCCTTGCCCGTAAGTGAGCGGACGTTAAGCAGACCGAAGTTTACGGAGGAGTTATCAGACATTGCAGGAGCGTTAGCTGACCGGGCCGGGTAAGCTAGCACGCTGCGGTCAACAACCCGGTTGGAGGCACGCCGGTGACGACGAGAAGTAGACCAGATGGATTTTATGGATTTCGACGTGTCCTCTTGGATGTTCCGGCGAAGTCCGCGGTGGATGTATTTCCGGCGTGGTAGAAGAGTTGCATCCGAGATGAATAGCGAAGCAGGGGGAAGTGCAGATGGATGAAACCGCAGCCGGAGGAGCTCAGCAGCAGAGTACTGGATCAGACCCGTAACAGGTTGTTGAAGGAGTGCCAGGAGAGTCCAGAGAAGCACAGCCCAGGTGTATATCCTGCTAATTGGCATTGTAGGAGAAGAGTCGGCAGCTTGGACAGATGAACAGCGACAGGTAAGACTCAGGTGGTCGATGAGAGCAGGAAAGTGGAAGCTAGACCATGTACACACACAGTTTTGCCAATAATCGTTGATTTGCGGCGAGCAGCGGCAGCAAGTCGCGCCAGCGTTCACTCACTTCCGCAATCGTCCAAATGTTTTCAGTGGCCTGCTTGGAACCCCCCCCCCCCCCCCCCAAATTCTACACATTCAAGAGCTGTTTCCTGCATACAAGTCACTTTTCAAAGGCTTTCACAAATACAGGAGTATACTATACTCACTCTCTTGGTTGTCCAGTGTAGTCTGATGACGATTTGGGAGCTACATGTTTTATTGCAGATGGGACATTTTCATTCATTTAACCTTTATTTATACAGGTTATTCTCACTGAGTCATGAGAACTCTTTTTCAAAAGAGACCTGTTGAGGGATTGTTCCTCCTGTGTCTCTGTTATTTTTATCTCTCTCTTCTGGCAGTCCTGCCCTCCTCCAACCTGTTTGTATCTGCAAATGAAGCAATACGGCCTCCAGGAATCGTGGTCAGCTGTAGCAGCCTCCAGGTCCTCAGGCCTAATGTTACACTTCCTCAAGGAAGTTTTCAGGTGGTCTTTATATCATTTTTTCTGCCCTCTGGATATGCGCTGGCCTTGATGCAATTTGCCATACAGCACTCCTGGGGGCAGTTGATACTGAGGCATAGATCGCATGTCCAAGCCATAATAGTTGGTGCTGGGTAAGCGTGGCCTCAGTACTTCTGCAATTAGTTTTTAAAGTGTCTCAGTAGAGGCACACAGTCATACCAGGTTAGCCCCAGGTTGCGCTGTAGACATCTTATATGCAAGTGCCCCAGGGACCTGATGTGATGGATGTAGGTGACTCAGGTTTTGCAGCTGTAGAGGAGGGTGGTAATGCAAACCGCTTGGTAGACGGCAATCTTGGTGGAGAAATGGAGATTTTTTGTTTAGAAGACCCGGTGCTGTAATTTCTCAAAAGCAGCTGATGCTTGCCTGATCTGGTTTTGAATTTTGTGGGTTTTCCAGTTTTGAATACTGTGTACATGACCTTAGTAAAAGTACACGAGCACTGAAGTAGTAAAAAGACTTTAACCAATGGCATTCTAAAGGAAGAGACTGGTTTTGAACAACTTTTCTGTAGTTTACCTTTTATGTCATTTCAGTGTTTTCAATTGAGGGATTGTTGGGTATATTTTAAAAAAAATTATTACGCCTGAAACTGACTTTGTCAGAAAGAAAAATGAAGACACAAATCTTTGCTATAATCTGGGGCGTATAAATATTAGTCTGTTAATATTGTGAAATTAAACAATTTTTAAACTAAAGCAGCAGACACAGCCTCCTCCGTCACCGTGAGAGACACTTGGGCTGAGCAGGTTCTGTTGCTCAGACCCAGAGTTTGGTCACGTGCACAAGTTGGACATGTCTCTACGATGATAACGACACTCAGAACACAGTAACATTTAATAAAAAGTTGGACTTTAACTACAAAACTACCAAGGAGGTCAGTGGTGCATTGTGGATAGATGGGGTGGGGGTAATGGAGTTTCAGTTCTTCTTTCTCCCCCAGCTAGTAAATTGTTCACATGCCAACACATATGTTTAATACATGAACGTTTAATAATTAATTATATAACCTGTTAGGGTAACGTGGTGTCCTCCTTAGAAAATGGTACAAGAAACACTGATTGGTGCTCTGACCTGCAGTTTGTCTCTGTTTGGAACACTGCTCACACCCACATATATCAGACCACATGACCCGCCCTGCTCTGCTCTGATTGGGTCAAACTGCAGCTCTGGTTCTCCTTATTTGTTGAATGCAGCATCAGTTTAATCCCTGTATCGTTAGGTATGTTTACATGGACATAAGTAACCGGATCAAATGGCCGGTCGGAATAAAAGTGTGTCATGTAAACACTTTGTTCGGGTTATTTTTTGTGTATTCGGCGCGATCCGATATAATTTGTGATCAGAACGAAACGGGTGGTTTACGGTACGCCGATCCGTAACCCGATCGGTGCGCATGTAAACGCTTGATCTGTTCGTTTTTATCTGATCGTGAAAAACTGACCTGACTGCGCATGTGCGACTTTGCCATTTCCGCCTGGCTAATGCTAATAATATTAGCATGTCAGGGAAGTAAAACTGGTTGGTGAGCGACACAACATTTCTACTAGAAACTTTTAAAGAGCTCAAAATGATCTGTATTACCTGTAGCTCAGTCAGGGAGTGCAGTAACGTCTCCACCATCATTAAAACCTGTCGCGGGTCCATTTCGGGTGCTCAGGTTTGTTTACGTTCACCCCGGAAGTAGAACTACTTCTTCTGTGTTTTTTTTTTTAGGAGAGTTTACCACTCTGCGCATGTCAGTACTGCTGTTCAGAACAAAGCCCGCTGCATGTAAACGCTCGTCATGAACAGATTGTGCCCATGTAAACAATACAATTGAATTATTCAAACAGAACACATTTCAATCCGGTCAAAGAATTCTGCGCATGTAAACATAGCTATCGTTAGATTGGAGGGTTTTAAAAAGACTGCAACAAAACACACATCCTTCCCACTTTCATTTTTACAGATGACTGAAATCCATTGTGGCGATGGAAAACTTTAATTTGTGTCTATTTGACTTGGTTGTCCACCGGACAACATCGAGATGAGATCTGGTTGTCCGAGACAAAAATAGGTTGTCTCGGACAAAAGGAAACAGCTTATGTTGACGCCTGCACTGTCAGTACAATTTGTAATTAGGCCTGTCACGATAACAAATTTTGCTGGGCGATTGTCTCAAATTATTGCAATAAACGATAATATTGTTTGAAATTTGACGATAATTAGTCATTATTGTCAAATTTAAGAAGAAATGTTGGTTCATTTGTCTTGAGTGTAGTATTTTTTTTTCCGACCACCGGCAGTATAAGACAGTTTGAACCGAAGGGTGGATAGTGAGGGAGTGAGCAGCGTGTCTCTTTAAGAGAAATGGGAGAGAGGCCCCTTGACGTGACATGGGCTGTCTCTCCTTACTTTTTTCGGTTTTCAAAGTGGCAGCTGTGCAGTGTGGTATGATCTCTTTAGCATAGCATTCTTCACACAAAGTTTTTAATAAAAAAATCAGTAAACAAGTTTTCAGCTTTATTTTGCAGAGAAAAACAACTTTTTACACAAAGGCACGAGTTTCAACTG